GGGGGGGGGAGAGGGGACGGCAAGAGACGGGATGATGATGAGGGTAATAGACCGAAAACACTACTGGGGATTAATAGATGGAGCGTGGAGCAGATCACCGGCAAGTATATTATTGAAAGATTGTTTTGGAGGACAAAAAAAATCGTGGAAATTTCTGGACTCAATGCTGGAGTAAATTGATGCCCTTTGCCCCCGTGATACCCCGCCAAGCGCAGACATGCACGCCTCGAAGGAGTCATCCTCTCTGTTTCATGCTACAGCAGCAGTAGTACAGCAGAAGTCCACCCCCACCAAAACGATTTCTTGCAATCCGGGCTACCTACGCCTGGTCCTTGTTCATACCAATGCATGCATGCGTTTTCGTGTGTTTCCGCAAGGAGAGCAGTCGGTCGTCGGGTGTGCTTTCGTGACGGATTTGTGACCAGACGCACAGGACTCGGTCCCCCTGGAATAGGTCCCTCTCGAATATTGCGACAGGATGCAGACGGCTCGGTCCCCGTATGGTAGAAGCTGGGTAATTCAGCACTCCTTATAGGCGTGGCGGACATCCCCATCTGGCACCTGACCACCACCGAGGTTTACAGATTTTTTTGTCCCCGCTCCCCTAGCACTAGGGATCATGATTTGGAAACCCCGGATTTTGGGCGAGCACAATACAGCAGACACACGCATCATAACTTCTGCGGTGGTGTGACCGCGTTCGTCCTCTGAACCCCTCGACGATGCGTTACGCTATCGGCCTCTGCGCCGCAGCCCTGCCCTTTGTACGGTCGTTCACAATGGGTCCGGCTGCGTATCGCAGCGTCATTCCAGCAGCGGCATCATGTCAGAAAGAATGCAGCGGCGGCAGCAACCAGCAGCAGGCATCATACGGCACGCGTCGCATCAGCAGCGAGCGCCGACGTCTGACTAGGCGATACGCGGGAGAGGGCGGGGGGGGGTCGGCCAACATGGACCCATCGGACGACACCTCTGAGGGAGACGCCGAGATGTACGCTTCGCTTCGGAAGCGGCTGGAGGAGCTGGAGAACCGAGTGGAGACGAGTGCGCCGGCTGCGCAGGAGGAACAAGGTCAAGAGCCGGCTGTCACAGCAAACAACAGGTGAGAGAGATAGCTGCTTCCTGTTGATTATGGGGATAGCTACACAACTGCTTTACGACGTCCCCCGACACTGCGACCTGATGTCCTCGTCACACACACACACACAGCAGTGGTGAACGCCAGAGAAATCTCTTGAGTATTGTGCCTACGGAGTATTAAAAAAAAAAGTGTGCCGTTGGGGTGATTGTGCGGAGACCCCATCCGAAGCGTCGTCGTGACGGCAGAGTTACCAAACTGGTGCACGCAGAGAACGGGACACCGCCCTCCTCCGGTATCAGCGCCCCGCCATCTCCGTCTACCGCAAAGTTTCTTCGTCATCGCCCTGCTGCCAAACCACCGGTTTAACCCCCCTCCTGTGTGCAGATGTCATGCTTGCTTGCGACTTCTGTCTCAGTGTTTTGATAGTCTACCGACACACGTGTTGGCCGGCGGATATTCGAGTCAACGCCTACCGTAGATCGAGCAGCCGCTACAGCAGTAGTAGAATTGTTTCCGGTACGTTTCTACTTTTATGCATACATGTAGTTCGGAGCAGCAGCACGTTTTCTGGGGTAATGGTAACCTCGTGAACCTACTTGCGGAGTATTTACAACAACTTGAAGTCTTCCGTCTAAAGCGGTTACAATAGTTCGCGAGTATGCAACAGAAAGAAGGGACTTCTCTGAACCCTTCTCGCGTAAAACCCAGGGACAAGAGCACCGCGGGGGGAATGGTAAGACTAAAAAACATAAAAGCTCTTGTGTGATGATGCCGGCGGATAAGTCAAACACATTCCTGTAGGCAGCGCCAGAAGGTACGCGCTCGGCATTTGAGATAATTCTTGTTTACCCAATCACTTCAACCAATGCCTCCCTCCCTCCCTCCCTCCCTACCTTGCCGCCCCGCCCGCCCGCCTCTTGTTTCAAAACGTGAAACACGAAAATGCGCCAAATTCCGTCGGTATCATTGCAACCCGCCGCCGCGGGCCAAAAGGGGGGCGAGAGAGAGGGAGTGGTTCACGATACCGAAAGAGGCGCCGGAGGACAAGAGGCGATCCCTCGCCCTGCTCACCATCCAGAGCGTCGGCGTCATCTCCGCCGCGCTATCCTTCGGGACGCTGGCCCTGTGTACGTGTTGCTGTTGTTGTTGTTGTTAGTATTGCTGTCTTCACATTGAGGGAAGAGAGTGCTGCACGTTTCTCGCGTCGAAATTTTACAGCAAGCATCGCGGGAGGGGGGAGGTAGGGGGCGTCAGGGAGAGGAATACCCCCTCTGTGTGACTGACCACACTGGAGCTCCTACCGGCAGAAATTCTGTGAATGTGAACGCTGATTTGACATTATGAAAAGAAAAGGTATCCACACCCGCACTGGTACAGCTGAAGCCGCGCGGGAAGCTAGCCTCTGTGTACGTGTGCGACTGGCGAAAAACGTGGTGGGCTGGCTCGTCGTGGTACGTAAGCCCTCCCCGCAGCAGGCAGGGAGGTTAACGCTGCTCCACCGAAGAGCGGTCGTTCGGCGCACACCGGGCGCATTTTTCCTCTTTTGCGCAATTTGTCACTATTGCGTGGTTGCTTCAAACTAAGCTATCGTGGATATACGTGCCGTTGCCGTTGTGTGTGTATTTTCCGGCTGGCAGACTGGCTAGCGGGTGCCGCATTCGTCCACCTCGGTCCACGCGAGTATCCCGGGTCGGTGTCGTCGAGAGGGAGCGCCGGCACGGCGCCAGGCTTCGAGAGAATAGTAGTGGGGGAAGATGAGAACGGGGGGGCTCAGCAGGTGCCGCAAACGCAGGGTCGTGCGATGGGGGGAAGTTCGACGAGGGAGGCGTTTCAGTTCGAGGGGTTTCCGGACGTCGGCGGCGGCGGCAGCGGCGGCGGCAGCGGCGTCGGGAAGGGCGTGGTCCCACCGGACTTCTGATGGTGGCGGCGAGGGTTATACTCCTGCTGGTGTACGTATGTACGCAGAGTGGTCTGTGTAGTTATTTACGAACAGAACAGCAACAGAAGACGTCGAGTTCGTTTGCATTTGCATTTGCATTTGCTGCTGCTGCTGCTGATGATGATGATGATGATGCAGCGGCTGATGCTGAAGACCGTTCGTTCTGTTCCTTGGGATGTAGAAGAACGCCCGTGAACGAGAAGTCGCGGGCGGTATGGATATGTATGGATGTGGCCGGCGCAAAAAACCAGCCCATGTAACGGCTTGCTTCGTTTTTTTAGATTCGGAAGGTGTCCTCATGCCACGTTGCGTGCTTTTCGGCTTGCACATTTGCAGTACCACGTGTGTTTCTGGTCCAGGTTGGGTGAGCACCAGAGGGAATGTTTGGGAGAGTGGGGGGCCCAAGATGACACCGTATGATGTGGAAATTGTTCTCGTAGGTGAACGCTATGTACACTTGAAGGTCACGACCATGATTGCTATCCATGGTTATTTTGCTCTCTTGCATTGATTCATACAAGAGATATTGTCCTGAAAACTTGGCTCAGAATGAATGAGGAAAATGGGGCTTCTTGCCCCGGAAACTTTCGCTGCTGTTGTTGTGTATTTCGCGTCGATTTATCGTGGAGAGTTTTCGATCATGCTGTACTGCTTTGCGGCGTGGGGCCGGAAGAGGCGGACGACCGTCTCATCGGGTACGTCGTCCCTTGAGAGTGGAGGGAGATTGGAAACCTCAAGTAGAGATGAGGCATTGGAGCGCTGAGCTGCGCAAGTGTCGCGCGATAAGCGTGGTTCTAGCTGTGGCGCAAGGAGACCCCATGGCATTTCAGCGTGAAGGTTCTGGGTACAAAATGTGGACGTATCATCACCAGTGTGCATGCATTGTTGTTGTTCACAAGAGTAACAGTGTGGTGTGGTTGTTTCGGGGTTGTTTGTGGTGGACAAGTTGGCTCGTAGAAGAGTACTCACAAGGTGGTATCCACGAAGCAGATGTGCTGATTCCCGTAACCAACGATCGTGGCGGCAAGGTAGGGTGTGTGCCTCGAATCTGTGCCGTCTCGGTCTACTCTTTCGCACTGATTACGCACGCGGCGTCCTCATCAGTATCGGCGTGGTGACGTCCCAAATGGTACCTCCGGATGGTTGTTTCACTCTTCCACTCGACGCACAAAATTGTGAAACAGAGGGGGATATCGAGAAACGTTTGTATTGATTCTTCCGGTATGATCAGGGCTCCTCGAAGTGCCGGGGCATCCCGGGCGTCCCATGTTGTGCAGATGCGCGTGTCGCCGCTGCCCCTGCCCCCGCCCCTGCCCCGACCCTGGCGCTTCGTCTTTGCTGCCTTCAACGGTGGTCCTCATGCAAACACGGGAGGTAGGGTGGGAGCACCCTCGTTCACGAACTCTTGGGCGTGATCTTCGATAAGACCCAAAAAATACATCCGAAAGCGCTCGACGTCCACCGCACCGTCCTGTTTGAACAGCAGGCAAAGTTGCAGGGACAAGCACACAACATACTCATCTGGCCATTGCAGTCGCCACGTCTTGCGAAAGGGGCCATTTCCGACGTTTGGCACCCGTTTTCGTAGTGCCTGCTATCGAATGCATAACTGCTACCAGGTACTTCTCCTTTGTTTCAATATTTCAGCAAATAGTATTTAGTCTTCGCGGGGTCGATGGTCTAACGACTACGGCATGCACGACTATGAGTACACCCCCCCCCGCAAAGGCCCTCCTTCCTGACTCAAGCGCCCTGAATTAACCTTCGTACAAACCTCGTCTTGGAGGAGTGTCACCAGCTCGCTTTGCTCCATCGGGTCAACCCGAACATCGAAGCGCGCAAGGAGGACACCTCCGAACGCTCGTGGAGTGCTCACTCTGCTGAGGTCGGCCTGACGCAGGTTCTCAATCCTGTGACGTGTTGTGCACCAACATATTTTGCGATGAGAACAGCCTATGCAGCTGTTGTCCCAACTTGCTACTGCAAGGAACACACCTCTAATTTCTCTCAGGGCTCCGAGGAGACTTTGTGAGGGGTGAATGATCGCTAGGAGCACCAGATCTTACACCTTGCCAAGTCGATGGTCCATCCTTGCTTAATGAGAACCGTCCGATTGAAGGCCGGACTCACTGCACCTTCTTGGGTCGTACGACAAGGCCGCTCGGTCCACCTTCGCCAGGGCTCGGTTGATTGTGTCCGCATCTACAGCTCGATGCAAGTTGCCGTCTTCTGCAGCAAATTTCACGCAATTTTCGTGGTATATATTTTTGTCATCGCCTCAAATGTTTGATCACTACCATTGCAGTCGGTATTTCGCATTGAGCTCGAAAAGGAACGTCAATTCACTACATTAGGCCTCGCTATTTCACAGGTTGTGCGCAAGTGTAGGTGCCTCTTGAGGTCGCCTAATCATCGCAAATTCAGCCATTGAGGGAGAAGAGTCCATGGCCACTAACAAGGGAATGGCGAAGAGTCACGTTGAAGATTGAATCGTGTAGTATATCGCTTGGTACATGCCCAGCATGGCACAGGTTGGGGGTGGCTTCGGCACGAAGAGGGACATGTTGGAGGAAGGAAGAGAGCTACAAATGCAAACAGTCTACGCATAGTGTGAGGACGTTTTTGCATACAGCTTGGACAACCACTGCTTAGGACCTTCTCACCGACTCTTGTCATCCGAGGGAGGCTTCGCCGCTGGCTCAACAACGGCAAGGAGGAGGTGGCTCTCGACGTTTTGGACGACTCCGGCCCTCGAACACCGTCGACAAGGGACTTGGGTTTGCGCGCTGTTTTGTCGCGGCGGTCGCCCTGCTGTTTCTTGAGCAGATCCCGCCGGAGTCGCAGAAACGCTTGCAAAAACTCCCCGTGTTCGATGCATATGATGGAGTCCCCCTGTCGGCATCTCTTTAAAGTTTCCGTTCATGTCCATCCGCAAAAAGTGGTAATAAACGGGCGCACAAATACCTTGTTCTGACGTGATACTGCGGGGCATTAGTTGAGAACGCCGATCTATATACTGCACCACACCTTCGGGACGAAGTGGTCATGGTGATGATTTCTCGCCGCAATGTTAAGTATTGCTTGGTGCAGGGATTATGCACTTCCCCGCAACTTAACGATGGCACCACACATCTCACATTTCCTACGGCTACTATGTCTACATTTGATTGTGGTGCGACCAGATACGATCACTACTGGATGATTAATCCTGCTGCAGTTGGGCTGGTAGAATGTGTTGTTCCTCTTTTTGCGCATAGATGGCAGTCACGTCCAGTGGCGTCATTCCAACGAGGCAGCCTTCGCCGTTTTCACCGCAGGCCTCCTGGAAGTTTCTTAATCTGGCTGTTTCTGCCGTACGCATGCACGGTTGTCAGTATTAGCAATCTCGACGCGTTGCATCGTACGGTAGAATAACAAGAGGCTCACGTGCTTCAGCGAGGGGGTGACGACAATGTTAGCTATTGGATTCGCCTGAAAGAAGTCAAGGTCGTTCGAGCGCAACCGCTTCATTCGGTTAGTTTGTTGTTCGGTTCCCTTCAATAGTTGATGGCGTGCGAATAGCAATACGTGCGCCCATGATATATATACGATCTTTCGTCCCCGAAGCTGAAAAACGCATACCCAAAACAAAACCGAAACAAACTCAACCACTATTGGTATCACGATTTTGTAAACTACCTCCTTGCTGAAATTCACGATAATGGCCTCGGCCTCCGCCGACGACAGCTTCACGCGGAAATTTCGCCAGAAAAGATCTTTAACATCGGCTGGAGTTAAGGGAGGGCCGTCAAAAGCTTTCACGCCCATCCAATCCTCCCAAGTTAGGCTCAGAGCGACGTCGCGCGCCTTGTCGAGCGCACTATGCAGTACCCTCCTCTGTCTTTTTCTTGTTTTGGTCTGCTGTGGCCTTCCTTCCTCCCGTTCTCGGGAAGAGCCAGGGCTGCCGCCTGTCTGTTGCTTCACGTGTTGAGGGGCGTACGTCCTGTGAGGATGTGGGTTGCAGCTGGCTCTGTTTGTGATGTTTGTATCCCCTCCGTCCTCCCGGTCTACCTGTCCATCTGTTTGCTCCAAAACGTTGTCGACCCCTAGGTTTTTCTTACGCGAACATCAGCAAGACTTGAAACAAATCTGTATGATCGACACAAACCTCATGGGCACGTTTGATTCTCGGCGATACAGTATATTTTCACAACAACAGCGTCGGTATCGGCAAACTCATATTTTCAGCTCGCACTACATGCACCGTTGGGCACGCAGCCGAATGTTTTAACTCTGGGCTTCAACGCCATGTTGCGTACATGGGTGCTTCCCGTCTGGCCAATGAAAGGACGCGCTGACACAAAACTTCGGAATATTGGCGAACGAACCGCGCTACGCGGCTGACCAATGAAGGGACGCCAATCTTCTCCCCACTTGCAACGGACGTGAATTATCGGACTTCAATACCGCCAACCAAAATCACCGGCAACACCGTAAACGGTGAAGGTAGAGATACACAATATATTGTGAATATAATCACACCTGAGTTGATCGTTCCGGTTCGAACTCTCCCCGGCCCCCTTCCGTGCGAGTTTGGTGGTCGGGCTAACGCCGTACAGGTTTGACAATCTGAAAGCCCGAGCTATCAACGAGGCCGAACAGCTGGGGTCTAGAGGGCGCACATTGTGCTCACTTTGGGACTTCCGAAGCACCCTCTCCATCCTGTTTCGGTGGAAATGGTCGTTGTTGAGCGAGACGCCGGAGCAACAACGTCCACTCTGCGGAGCAGATTCGCGCGACATCCGAAATCTACACTGTGTATGCAGACTCATGCTTGAACGAACAGCGAAAAAGTATGAACTCATGCGTTGCACATGATGGGACGTGTGTTTTGCACACACACCGCTGAATACGGTTCTACCAGGTTACAATTTGTGCGAGGGAAGTGCTTGTTTTCATTGGTATCCAACTTCAACCCTATCCTCCTTAGTCGGAAGATGGATCTTGTGCCGACCGTGCAGTAGACTAGTTGGTTGTGGGCTTGGTCCATCTGTCTGTGTGACAGACACCTATCCCTGGACAAATGCTTAATCGGCGAAGCTGGGCTTACAAGGTGTACATAAACTGGGCTTTTAGGGTATGTATTCCTCCTTGATGTCCAGACGACAGAGTTGTGGTGCATGAAAAGATACTCACTCGGTTGGCAATGGGTGCGGGGCATGTGGCCTACAGCAGTGCACTCGACGCATTTACGGCTGGCGACACAAGATACCACACGCCGGAGACCGGTGTTCAACGCTCGATTACTACACGACGAAGAGGATGCATAACTGAAACGATACGCTTTGGGAAGCTCTCGCCGAGACAACTCCAACGCCGCCGTTTTCGGGGCTGCCGCATTATCTGTTGTGGAGAAATCGAGCGGTGAACACGGATTCAGGGGGTGGTACCTTTTGTCAGCAACGGTAGAAAATGTTCTCACTCACCGCTCGACTTCAGCAATGCGGCTGTGGAAATGAAGATCTGCATGACCGGGTCCTACAGGTTCAAGTTGTAAACAGGATGAAGGGGTGAGATAAATCCCTCTGTTCATCCCTGGGATGTGGTGGCACGGGAAAAATACGCACCACACAACACAATCTACGTACAACGCACGCATTGCCCACACGCGGCAGGACCTGTGCCGGTTCGTCCATTTCGCCGTTTCACATTTGTCCACCGTGGGGCAAATTTTGGGCAATTATTGAATGTACCGGGACAGAGTTTTATTACAAAGGAGTATAATTACGCGGGCGAAACCCGCCAATACAAGGTGGCACCCATTTGTCTGCGGGCTATAGACTACGCTTCAATATGTTGCACCTCCCTCAATTAATCAATCAATGAAGGAAGGGAGACACCAGAGCAGAGGTGCCGTCACCGGGGCAGCATCGAAGTATTCCATAGCGCTGTGACGAGAGTGACGCCTCTTGCATAGTTCGGAACGATAGCACTCACTGTGAGATTGCTTTGAGAAGCGATTTTACTTTGCTGATCAAGAGTGCACCTGCGGGCGAACAGGACACCACATTTGATTTGATCCCTTCTCGCTCGCATCAGCAACCCGTG